ACGAAAAGTAACATGTCATGCCCTTGTCAGTGTAGCACTTGGTTCAGCTCCCCCGAATCCCAGCTCCTGGTTATTTGAGGCTTGCACCTGCCTTGAAAAGGTGTTGGCTCGGTTTCTTGCTGATTTCGGTGTTTATAGCATCAGGCTGTTTTTATAATATTTGCTCGAATGCTTTCTAACTACTCTTACCCCTTCGTTGGGTTTTCATCTTCGGGACCCTTTTTCCATCCAGCCATCGGCCTTCCACCACGGGTCTTACATCAAATCTCATACACACACACACACACGCATGCACACACACACACACACACACACACACGCTCTTCCTCAATCTAAGTTCTTTCCCTTTTTTTCATGCTTCACTTTCTTTTTGTATTTTATTTATTTGCTTCACTATTTTACACTACTAAACATCTATATTTCTAAATACAGTTAACTTAAAACACTTCAGGGACATTTTAATCCAACATACATCATTATGAACGCAAGAGCAGCTTTTATTGACAAATGACAAAACATTCAGATTTCTTTTACAAATATCTTTTGGCTGTGAGCTTATTTATTGTGATCTTCAGTTTTTGTTTCACAATTTGTGTTTATTACTGGGCAGAATTGTTTATCTAACACTTGTCTTTGTGCTTTAGAGAAAGGCACCACCCAGTGTTGTGGAGCTGGAGAAACTCCGCTCTGAGCTGTTCAAAAGGGAGGTGGAGTGGACGTCAGCGTCCGACAAACACAAACAAGAGTAAGAGCTCTTTGGATGCCTTCTGACCCTTTGTTGAATCTTTTCCTCTTCTCCTATTTATTTACTATACTTAGTGGTTTGTTGTAATATCAGGTTTTCTGTGGTTAACTTCTCTTTAGCTGTTTTTCTAAAATGTGTCAACAGAAAGGGAAAGACTGTCGTGTTAGAAATGGTTGATCAGTTCAGTCGCAATTTTTCCCTCGGACACTTAGTCATTTGAGTTCTGACCAAAGGTTTGTCATTCTCAGGATGCAGATGATGAACACAGTGCTGACGGAAAAGGATCACTCCATGAGGAAGCTGAAGCAGACGTTGAGGTCACAGCAGCAAGGGGAGGAGTCATGTAAGTCTGCTGTCTGATTATTACGTAATGTAATATTCAGAACTCTTTAGAATGTGAATTAGCTTTGTTGCAAAGTAGGTTTACACATACAAGGAATTTGCATTGGTGTTCATGAAGCATACATAAACACAATAAGAGAAGTAAGTTAAACAAACCCAGAAACTATTATAAAAAACAATTTAAAATGTTTTATATATATATATATATATTTTTTTTTTAAAGGATAATCTCTATACAGTATATTAACATAACTACGTTTTGTGAAGCGTTAATGCAATGGCAAGAAGCAAAATCGGCCACATTATGACTTTATGCTATAAACAGACTGCATCACGGCTGACTTCACTTCCCTGCTTGTTTCTGTGTGGAGATCACTCCAAGAGAGGGGATGAAACCCCCATTGTTACTATTTAAGGTAGAAACATGTTGTGCTGATGTAGTCATGTTGAATTCAGTCCTGCAGGGTGAGGACCTTCATGCCAGACTGACCAACCCCAGAGGACTGGTGATCAAGAGCAGCGTCCAGCTGGAGAAGACTAAACTGGAGGAAGAAGTCAAACGGCTCCGACTGAAAGTAACCGAGCTGGAAAGGTGAGATTTACCAGTTTGATGGTGAAACTTCTTAGATCGTTCATGTGATTGTGACAGACTGCTTCACCCGCGGTGTCTCACGGAGAGATAGCGCAGGTCCTTCTTCCTGCAGTGATCAGACTGTATAACCACCAGGGCCCCTGCTAGACCCCCCCACACACACAACAACTTGGACTATGACACCACTGTTGTAAAATAACAGCTAGGCCTGTCGCGATAATCGATAAATTGACTTATCATACGATAAATAAAAATGGACTCGATAACTTTTCTGAGCTCGATAAATTGCCGTTTACATAAGGATGTGACCAGCATTTTAGCCAGGCGCGCTGTGAGGGGGCGGGGCTAACACACAGCCAGGTCAGGAGTCAGACACTCCGCGTGCACGTGCAGCAGTGTAGCATCCAAATTAATAATATAGCGACAAGCAGGAGACAACGTGTGACTTACTCGCGGGGAATTTAAAGTGAAATGGAATTGGTTACAAAACCTAACTACACATCTGTGAATGAGGTGAACCTACGGATTTGAATGAGCCGGTATGTCGCATTTCTTTAAAAAAGGGTAGCGACAAAAGCAGGCAATACCACAAATCTTAAATTACACCTGAAACACAACCACCCCATTCCGTTTTCCCAGCTGGGAGCAAACACGGCAGCTGGAGATGGAGAGCCCCCACCTTCCCGACAGTTTACAATCAAAGATGCATTTGCCCGACAATGCAAACATGTTGGTGTTCCTTGCTCGAAAACTTTGAAATACAGATTTGGATATGGCCTGTTGAGGCATCTGGGTCTTTGTATGGACAGTGACAGAGTACA